AGAGACAGTATCTCACTGAGTTGCTTAGCACCTCACTTTTGCTGAAGCTGGCTTTGAACTTGCAATCTTTCTGCCTCAGCCTTCCTAGCCACTGGGATTACAAGCATGAGCCACTGTGCCCAGCCTCAGCTGAATGATTTTGACAAAAGACACCAAATAATCCTACAAATTTCTGGTGTTGTGTCGGGGGGTCAACCAAGGGCAAAAGCTCTGCTATGAAGTTTTCATACACTCTAACACCCCCACCTCCAACACACCCTCTCTGATTAAACAAAAGCAGCTCTTCTTTAATCGAAAGTATTTCCTACATTGCTGCTTTAAGATTTAGTTGGAGAAGACCAGGTTAAAAACATTATTGATCTCAAAAGTCATTTTCTGAGCAGGGTGTAGTAGTGCATGTCTGTAATCCCAGTGGCTCAGGAGGCTGAGGCAGGAAGATCTCAAGTTCACAGCCAGCCTCGGAAACTCAGTGAGGCCCTGAGCAACTCAGCAAGACCCTGTCTCTAAATAAAATACAAAAAAGGGAGAGGGGGGTGCTGGGGATATGGCTCAGTGGTTGAGTGTCCCTGAGTTCAATCCCCATCAGCCCTCCCCCAACCCCCTGCACAAATCATTTTCTGCTCTTCCTCAAGCTCTATGAAGTTTTCATATAACCTCTGTGATGGCTATAGGAAGGTTGATTCTACTTTTTTTGATTGACAGAGAGTCAGGGAATACAGATTCCAGCAACCTGACTCTGCTCTCAACCAGAGCCTTCCATTCCCTTTCCCTGTCATGGTGGGTTGGACTCTAAGGTACCCTCTAAGCATATGCCTGGTAGGAAAGGATGTTGACTCTGCCTCTTTCTAATAGCTTATGCTGGCTTCTTAGCTTGCTCTGTCTGAATGAGAAGCTTTCTGTCCTGCACAGGAGAGAGCTTTGTGCAGGTAGCTGAGGAAGGACTAGTTTCTTTCCAACCTGTAAAATGCAAAGTTGGCCAGCTGCCTCCCTTCCAACCCCAAAACTCATATCTTCCCTTGTCTCCAGAGAGCTGTCTGGCAGCTCTCAAATCGTCTGACTGTCCTGGGGTTTTGGGAAAAGCACTGCACAGAATGTGAAGTCATTTTCTGGTAACACAGATCTAATTAGCTCTTTGACTGACAGGAGGAAGCAGAGGCCAAGAGGGATTTAAACAATTCAGTCTCACATATCTCAAGACAAGTGAAGAACCAGATGGGAAAATGGAGAGAAAAGGGGAATAAAGAGAAAAAAAGCCTAGGGAGACTATAGAGAAGGGGGAGGAGAAGAAAAAGCATGGGGAAGGGGAGAATATCAAATGACCAAAATATCAGTCCTTTGTTCTTCTAGCTTCATCTCTGTTCCCAATTTCCCTTTTCTCTCCCAGACAGAACTTACTTGAAGGTCGATGATTTCTCTTTCTGATTCCATCTTGCTGCCCTCCAGAACCTTCACACACCGGGTGCCAGTAACAGACTGCGTGGGCTCCTCCAGGCTCTGCTGTCTGTCTCTGCTGCTTTCCTTGGGTGGGAGAGAGTACACAGCTGGCAGGACAGACCTGCTATTCATCCGGCTGATGCGGGATGGCCATCCTGGCCTCAGCCCCTGGGGGAGGTGTACACTTGTCCACCCGTGCAAGCATGTGTTTCTGCGTGTGTATGCATATGTGTACGCTCCAGAGGCTGGCGTGGGGCACATTAATGGGTGGCTTTTTGAGTTGGTGGTGACAACATCATTTTCACCAGCATTTCCAATGCCCCTCCAGTCCCAGCAGAGCCATCTGAGGTCACCCAGCCTGCTTTGAGTAAGTAGTTTTACTACTAGGAAAGAAATCCTGCATATTTATCAAGGAATTTGAAAGTCAGCCTGAAGATGTTTTTTGAGTTCACATTGGTTGAGCTGAGCAGGGTCCCTAGTCCAAGGGTGGGGTAGACTTCAGCATAGCCTCGAGACCGAAGTTTAGGAATTTTTCTGGTTCTTTGCTTTGAACAAAACCAAAAAGTTTTTTCTTTTTTTTAATGGTAGTTTACTTTAATAGGCTCAAAGCATAAGCCTTACTCTACAAAGTGATTAAACAACAAATTTTTGTTGACATATTGTTTGATACCTTTAACTTCTCCCTTTATGAAAGAAAGAGAGAAAGAGATGGAGCAGGGAAAAGTTGTACCTTCAAATCCTTTTCATGCAACTGGTTGCATTTTCTCTACTTTTTAAAGAAAGCTACCAGGACTAAGTCTTTTTTTGGAAAGTATTTCTTTCTCCTGTTTACCTAGAGCCCAAAACTCTCCTGACTTCTTCCTAAAGCTCATTTTAGAACTAAGCTGGTGTGGGTGTGGGTATGTCTGTGAATGTGCATGAAGGAGGGGTTTGTCAGGGAGACGTCTCATTCAGAGTTTAAAGAGATGATGGTGGTAGGGAAGAAGCAGAGTCACAAATTTACCCTCACTATACTTCAAAGCACGGAGTTGGAGGGCAATTTCTTTATTTCTGTTAAATGTCTTTTTAAGTTCTCACCTTACTATTCAGTGGTGTGAGAAAGTGTTGGACAATGGGATGAGAATTCAGCTTTAGTATAATCTAATAAGTAGAGTTGAATTTAATAATTTAAATGGTGAATAGCCCAGCATAGATAGAATAGTCTTTTGGATTTCTACCTCTTTTTCCCAAAGAGGGCGTCTAGGCTGAGGGAGATGGGTGGATGAGGGATGGTTCTTGGAATTATCCCATGGCCTCTCTGTTTAGTTTCTGCTGTTTTCTGCTATGGAGCTGCTTAGAAGGGGCAGGGCTTCCCCATGGCTATATTTGCTAGTCTCTGAGGAGAGTCTGGTCCTACTCCATACCCTCCTGCTGACACTGGCAATGGATGTTTATGGCCAGGAGAACTCGCTCTCTTTCTCCATTTAAGGACCAGTGGTCTCCCTAGTTGAATGCCCTATCTTCACTTTTGTGGTGACGTAGACCACCCTGTAACCTGGGCATGACTTGAAAATATTCCAGACATACCAGCTCAGTGGTACAGCTCTCTAAGGTGGCCTCCTCTGGAAACTCTTCTACCAGATACTCAGCTAATGCTCCTTATTCCTCCCTGGGCTCATGGAGCTGAGGGGTGGTAAGGAAGAACTAGATAAAGGCAAGCCTAGTACCAAAGCTGGCAAACAGTCTTCTTATAAGGCTATGCAAGGTGGGTGCAGCTCAGTTTTTGAGGTGACTTCCTTCCAGATTCCCAAATGGGAGATGTAGAGCCCATTCCTTTCTTAGCATTCCTTTGAAAATCTACCACCAGTATCTATCACCCCACTCCTCATAACAATAACTATGTTAGTCAGATTTTGACCACTGTGACACAAAACCTGAGAAAATCAACTTAAAAGGAGAAAAGGTTTATTTTGCTCATGGTTTCAGAGATTTCAGTCCATGGTCACGTGTCCTGTTGTTTGGGGACTATGGCAGCATAGTACATCATGGCAGGAACGCTTGGTAGAAGGATTCATGGCAGTGTCATGGCAATCATGGAACAGAAAGGGGCTGGGTTCCTAGTATCCCCTTCAAGGGCGCACTTCCTCCCACTAGGTCTTACCTAGTGGTCCACCACCTCCCCATAGCACTGCAGACTGTGACCAAGCCTTTAACCCCTGGGCCTTTGGGGAACACTTCAGATCCAACTCACAGTGAGAAGCACTGCAGCTCATACTCACCTTATTTAAAAATTTTCACAACGATTCTGGGATATAGATACCTTTATTACCACTTTATAGAGGAGAAGAGAGAAACACTAGAGGTTAAGTAGTTGACCAAACTTAAACTGAAATTTAAACCCTGGCATTCTGGATTCAGTCTTTTATTACCCACAATTTTGGCTTAGAGAGGAGAGATTGAACCACATCTCAGAATGCTTGCTCTCCCTTCCTCTGCTATATTTCTTCCCATATTCCCCACAATCTGGGATCAGAAAAGAGGAGCTTTGTCTTCTTTCTTCTCCTGTTTGACTGGAATATATCTTATGTGGAATTATATGACAATAATTCAAAGAGGAAAATAGAGAAATTTAAAAAATTCTCTTTCTCAACAAAACCTGGCCATCAAAAATATGTCTTAGGTAGCCATAGTGGTACATGCCTATAATCCCAGCAACTAGGGAAGCTGAGGCAGCAGGATAACAAGTTTAAGGTCAACCTGGACAACCTCATGTCAAAAAATTAATTTAAAAAATAATCAAAATAAATAAATATATATATTTTTTAAATTGGGGATGTAGCTCAATGGTAGAGCACTTCTGGGTTCAACTCCAATACTGGAAAAAAATGTGTGTCTGTGTGTATGTGTGAGAGAGAGTGTGTTTGTGTGTGTGTGGTCTTGCTGGAAATTTTTAATTTGGGTGTCAGAGCAAAATACTACCTGTTTTCTTTGTGTCCTTGTTGTGGTAACTCCCACTAATCTGTAGATAATATGGATGCATCTGGCTTAACAGAGGGGAAACCAGAAAAAGAAAATGCAAAAGAGAAAAGCACCTGAATATATTTTCAAAGAAATTTCCCTATTAATAAGCACATTGACCTCAAAAGGAAACAGCTGTGATTGGTTATAATAATGTGTTTGTTGCCAAGATCTTTCTGGATTTGAATCTTTCCTATCTCATAATCACCACTTGGAAGTAAACAGAAAGTAGGATTTGGAAAGTGGTTTATCTACCCTATCACACTGTGACTCTGGACCAGGGTCAGCAAATGTTTTCTGTAAGGGGCCAAAGAGCAAATATTTTTTAGCCTTTGTGGGTTATGTTTTTAACTGCAATTACTTAACTCTGCTATTTCAGTGTAAAAGCAGTCGCAGATAATATATAAATGAATGAGTATGGCAGTGTTCCAATAAACCTTTACTTACAAAAACCTAGTAGTCATATTTATAAAAACAACACCTGATTTGGCCACACAGGTTGTAGTCTGCTGACCGTCATCCCAGAATTTAAGAGAAAGAGTCTTTCAAATCTAATTCTCACTTGAAAGGTAACTGTGGAACCCCGACTGAATGGATATTGTGTTAAGCTCTGCAGGGACATCCAGGCATCCAATCCAGTCCTGGTGAAACACAGGCCTGTACATGAGGCTGAAGTGGAGAGTGCTTCTGACATTTGGCTCAGGTACTGAAATTGATACCTACATGGAGGCTATTCAATCTAGAAGGGAAAGGTTTCTGTTTCTCTTTACTGCTAGGGTGATTTTTTCAGTGTGAAGCCCAAGGGAGATTTTTAGGGAAACTTGTCTCTTAAAAAAGTATATGTTCAAGAACACACACTTACAGGCAACTTACAGAGAAACTTAGAAAGTAGCTGTGGGATAGGGGGTGGGGCTCAAATTAAACCCTATATTTGTCTATGCAGGAGTAACAGAGTTGTAGAATGTTGAAGAAGCTGAAATAAGAGCACTTTGCCTGGTACAGGGCTATGCCCCTGTCATTCCAGCTACTTGGGAGGCTGATGTGGCAGGATCACAGGAGTTTTTATTTTCATTTTGCTTAAAAAAAAAAAAAGTAAAAGTAAAAGAAGAATCTAAATTTTTAATTATAATTTGTTTTTAAAAATTATTTTTTAATTAACATAAAAATTGTAAAAGCCAGGTATGGTGGCACTCCCTGCAATCCCAGCAACTTTAGAGACTGAGGCAGGAGGATTACAAGTTCAATGCCAGCCCCAGCAATTTATCGAGGTCCTGTCTGTGTCTGTCTGTCTGTCTGTCTCCCTCCCTCCCTCCCTCTCTCTCTCTTTGGTAGTGGTGATTGGGGTGCTTTACCACTGAGTCACATTCCCTGCCCCTCCACTTTTTTTTTTTTTAAACTTGAGATAGGGTTTCACTAAGTTGCTTAGGGTCTCGCTAAATTGCTGAGGCTGGCTTTGAACTTACCATCCTTCTGCCTCAGCCTCCTGAGTTGCTGGAATTATAGGATGTGCCACCCTCCTGGAGATACCCTGTCTCAAAATAGGAAATTAAAAGGCCTAGAGATATAAAATTTAAAAATAAAAATTGTATTTATTTATGGGGTACCATGCAATTTTCCAATATGTGTATGCATTGTGTAATGTTTTAATCAAGGTTAAACATATCTAGTACTAGAAACATTTATCATTTTTTGTGGTGAAAATATTTAAAATCCCAGCTTCATTGAAATATTATCATTATTTCTAATCACCCTATAGTGTAAGATCTCTTACTTTTGAGTAGTGTGAAAAGCCCTAGGGTGAAATCAGTTGACCTGGGTTCCTTTGTCTGCTGAGTCACTATGTGTTCTTAGGCAAGTTATTTAACTCCTCTGGATTTTATATTCCCCTTTGTGAAAAGTGAAGCTGTCAAGAGGCAAATCCTAAGATTCTTAAATCCTTTTTCTAATATGTGTTTATTTTAAATCCTGTTTCTAAGTGTGTGTTTAGATTCAACACTTCCTAGGTAACAGTGAAGTTCTCAGATCCAGGTCTGAGCCAGGTGCAGTGATGCACACCTGCAATTCCAGCTATTCAGAAGGTCGAGGCAGGAAGATCACAAGTTCAAGGCTAGCCTGGGCAACTTAGTGAGACCCTGCTAAATTGAGCTAGTGAAGTGCTTGCTTAGCATGCATGGGTTCTTAGGTTCAATCTTCATGACTGAAAAAAAAATAATAAAAGAAAAAAAATCAGATCCAAGTCTAAATTTTAGTGTATCAAAGTTAAGGTCAGGCGTGGTGGTGTATACCTATAATCCTAGCCACTTGGGAGGCTGAGGCAAGAGGTCTGCAAGTTCAAAGCCAGCCTCAGCAACTTAGCAAGGTCCTAGGCAGCCTAGCAAGACCCTTTCTCAAAATAAAAATAATCTTAAAAGGGCTGGGGTTATGGCTCAGTGGTTGAATGCCCCTGAACATATGAATAGAGCAAGAAGAATCCAGTACCTTCAGTTTGATATTGCCAACAAAACCCTCTCTAATGGAATATTAATGTAATTAGAAAATATTTTAGGGGAAATTACCCATTAATTCTGCTAATGAGACACACATCAAACAAGATACAGAAGTGAGAATAAAAGCAAACTTCAGAACAAACTTACAAACCCACTTATGATCATTTACAAATTAACTCAGCCATTTCCAAATTCACTGTTTGGGAATGCTGGGGCCAGGACGGAGGGCAAAAGGAAGCTTTTGAGGGCCTGAGAATGAAGCTAGCAGTGCAGGGACTGATGGGGTACCAGGTTGGCCAAGGGGATGATTAACAATTAGGTGACTCTAGCACTATCCAATAGAACTTTCTGTAATGATAAAAATTTTAGAGCACATTTCCATCTTCACTGTTCAATACAGTACCCATTAGTCAAGTTGGAGGTATTGAGCAAATGAAAAGTTGTTGGTGTGACTGAGGATCTGAATTTTAAATTTTATTTAAATCTTTACAAATTCACGTTTAAATAGTTAGCTACATTTAAATAGCTAGTAACTACCATATTGACCAGGGCAGCTGTAGGCCAAAATTGATCTATTCAAAACATTGTTTAGCAGTGGCCAAATCATATTTACCACTTCTTTTCTAGCTGCTCTTAACTTGATAGATGTTCATCAGGCCAAAGCCTGATTTGACATAAATAGGAACTCAGGGTACACAGCTCTCGTGGGAATGCCCCATGAAACCTGGGTTTGCTCTTGGTTGTGGTAAGCAAAATTTCCCTTTGTTCTTTCGAATTCAGAGTAGGGGGATTTGAACTGTGACTCACTCTCCAGTGACTGATTAGAAGCAGAGCCTCCCTCTGTTGATGTGGAACACTTTTCACCTCTCATCCCTGAGATGAAGTTCAAAGTCACTTGGCACTCTTTTGGTGGCATGTGATAGGGTAATGACTGATCTCAGCAGTAGGACAGAGCAAGATCTCAGTGGTTTTCAAACTTTTTAAACCATTGAAACCCTTTTCTTAAATGTAATCTTAGGTGGAAGTTAATATAAAGTAGATTAAAATGAAGCTGCTCAAATCTGTCCTGCTTGCTCACTGTCCATTTCTCAAGCCAACCCTTAAGGTACCTCTTGGTACTTGAATTCTGGACATTCTTCAGACTTGAATTCTAGACAAGTGGCATGGTTTATGTCTCCAGGTTCCTTCAATTGTGTTAGGGTCAAACATCACAAGTAATCCAAAATTATATGGAGTTTTTCAAGTCTTGAAATGAGGTATGTAAGAGATGCATATCTCAATACATGTATAGATCATCTCACATGTATATATATATACACACATATGTGTATATATATATATATATGAATAATGAATAATGAATGAGAAAGTTTAAAAAGCAAATTATGTTCACTTATTTCAGCAACAGATGGGATGCTTGCCCACAGGGTCTTTCTTACTGACAAAATTTTCCTCAGACAAAGGAATCTGAATATCCCTTTTGCACTATTTCCCAAAGAGCACAGGGGACTCACAGTTGGGGTGGGGGTGGGGGTGGGGGATGAACATCAGAAAGTGGCCATAGAAATGGTTCTTATGCTCTTCCAACATAAAAGGTATAAGGACAAAGAGATCATGCACAAGTCCCTAGATCTGGTTGGATAGAAAGGGAGCACAGCGGTGGAGTTCTGAGTGGAGTGGAAATAAGAGATGAAAAATTCAAAAAATCCTCCAAGACGAAGGTACCAATTCAATCCCTTCAACACACAGATGACTTTTTAGTGGTGAATGTGGAATTAGAGATTTATAATCAAAGTTTCCTGGTTACCCCTTTAACCACATGGATAAGTGCATGTGAATGTGTGAGTATAATAATTCATCTGTGAGCATGTAATAACTAATCTGGGAATAGTTCCTTACAGGTTCAGAGGACTTTGTACATGATTTCTTTTGTCCCTCACAATGACCTAGTGGGATCTAAAACTAAAGTGACCTGCCCAAGATCACACAGCTGGTAATAGAACCAGGACTCAGTTTGAAAATTCTTTCTTCCAACTCTTATTTTTCTCCACATGATGCTACTTAACATATGTCTTTAACTCACACCAAATTCGTGCACACACACACACACGCACACACACACAGTTATTATTGCTGCTATGCAGTAAAGCTTAATAGGTCATTGATAATAATAACTCATTATCTTCCAAAGACAATGGTCCCGCTATTTCCTAACTGTGTTGTTGTTGCTGCTGCTTTGTGTTGCTGGGAATCAAACCCAGGGCCTCGTGCATACTAGGCTAACACTGTCACTAAGCTATCTATGCCAGCAGCCCCCATTACTGTTGTTTTAATGAACTTTATTTTGTAGAGTAGTTTTAGGTTCTCAGTAAAATTACGCAGACAGTACAGACTGCTCTCATATACCACTTTCCCATCTGCCAGGCTATCAACATCCCACACCAGAAGGATACATGTTGCAACAATGAACCTGGATACTTCACTATCCCCTAAAGTCCATAGTTTACATTAGGGTTCATTCTTGGTGAACTTTTTATATTTTATATTTTCTTCAGAATTCTGGGGCATGTATTGAAAAGTTACTGGTGAAGGAAAGGAAGGAGTGGAAAGGAGCAAGGAAGGAAAATGGTGGCTTGGCCAAGTTCAAGGGTATCCTGGAATAGAAAGCAACATTTGAAAAAACATCTTCTTAATTATTGGGAATATGCAAAGAGCTCCTCTTTAACGTGCAGGACATTCAGAGGAGGGAGAGCGAGATGTTTATGTTCCATTTATTAGACAGGAGACATGAATTAAATACACCAGCTTAGCACAAGGATTGTGCATTCTGGTATTGTATGTTATATGGGGTTTTTAATTTTGTTTGGGTTTTGTTTTATGATTGTTGTTTATTATTTTTTTTATTTTTTTGATGCTGGGGATTAAACCCAGGGCCTTGTGCACATTAAGCACAAACTCTACCAATGGGCAACACCTCATTCTCTGGGTTTTGACAAGCTATGTTTTTGAAAGTTATTTTGCTTCTTCTTACCCTATAAATATGGGGAACACACCGTCTAGTTTATAAAGATCATTGTGATGATTAAATTAAATCAGATCATGAATGTAAAGAGAATTACCTGCCTGACAGAAAGGAAGAAGAACCCAACACATGAAGCTAATATTAATGTCATTGAGATAAGCCTGGCAGTTTTACCCTCCTGAGTCTTTCCCTTCT